GCGGGTGACGAGACTCTTCACTATGCTGCAGCGGGTGTAGTGGTTATTTCTGTGTGAATTTATTTATTGAAACAGATTTTCACTGTATCTACTCGCTTTCTCCCTCCTTGCCACACCCACCATGGCAATAAAGGAAATAAAGCGAGAGATCGTCGTTTGCGCAGTGGACAACACGGTTAAACGACTCACCCTTGCGCGCACTCCTTCAAGGAGTAGAGTTTTGAATTTCACACAACTAAGAACCCCATTGATGTCAAATTTCAAAGGAACTATTACAATTTGGCCATGCTTCAGGGTAGTGTACTCTTATCCCGTCAGTTGGCATCCTTCCAACCCCCATTGGAATAGTTTTAAAAGTGAGTTTGGCCGTTTATAGGTAGGAACCTATGAACTAGGTCGATCTCACTCAGTTACCGCCACCGGCTTGCCCGAATCAGTCTGATTGGAGATGAGATTTGACTTATTGACTTATGTAGCGTAAATGCTCTGTCTACGTTAGGCAGACAGGTTTTTGGAAAAGCCTTGGTAGCCCACGCCTACATTTGACTTTTATTATATTTGCGGCCGAAATAATTCAGCTTCGTGTCATTGGTTTTTCGGTTGGTGTAAAGCAGATGCTCATATCCAGTAAAGCGCTCAACTGAATTCTGAAATAGGAAATATGCAAAAGCAATAGGAGGAATGTGTAGAATTACTCGTTCAACTGAAATCTACTACTTTTTTGGCTGTGCATGCTCAGGGAAAACACTGCCTGACGTCCTATCGCCAAGCTTTCTGATGATAAACTGAGGCATCCACCTACACGCCAGCCAGGCAACGTTGCTGAGTCCGAACGAAATAGAGTAATTGCAGCTATTAAGTCCTGCAATTTGGTCACTTTCAAGCGTGTTAGCTTGCTTGGACCAATGAAACATCAGTGTGCTGCCTTCTGTTTAGAGCGTTCGAACAGGGTGCAGCACGCTGTCTCCCTGGAGGGGATGCACCGCGACATTTTTTTCAGCAGACTTTATCGCCGTCGTCCAACCATCTGTTTGGCCTATCGTGTATTTCACATTCTCCTGCTCATCTAAACTCCCGTCATATTGCCCCTCGCCATCGTCCGCGTCTATGACCGACGCTAGTTCAAATTACTGTGTTCACCAGCATGCTTGGTACGTCTATGGCCAGTCTGCCCGCCATCTTGAACACCTTGCCATCGCACGCCCAGTCACACGTTTCGTTGTCAAATACCAGCCGGTGATAACTAACTGGACACTACAGTTCATGCTTTCCCGTCCCGCTTAGGTATTAACGTAAAGGGGGTGCGTTTGCTACCAAACGGTGCCTTTTTGTCCCATTAGAATGAAAACGCGGACCTCGTGCCCAACGCTTTAAAGAGGCGGAGACTTTGAAATTTTTCTACACCGTATAGTGATGGGGAGAAGCAGTGTACCTCTAAGGAGCGATTATCAGGTGTGTTAGGACAGGATAGATAACAAAAACACGATCAAGAAAATGTTACTGTCATGCTGGTTTAGAGTGCCAAGCCCTCGTAAGCCACGCTACCCTTTAGCTATTCAAGCTGCCTTCCGATTGTGCGAATCAGTGGACATTCCACTATCGTAGCCCATTTTAGCCAGAAAAGCTGCTGCTCAATTTGCAGAACAGTCTGATAGAGAAGTCGATGTTTTTGTGTCATTGGACCTGTTCTCCCCAGATGATGTTTATGAATTGGCATGTATTTGTAGATGTAAGCGTGCTGGGCAAACTAAAATGCACTGGGCCGTCAGGTAAGCTTGCTTCTGAAGTCGGAAGCACATACAGGACAGCGAACTGTCTATTGACTTAAGGCTAGCTTTCCGAATTTTCATTCGCATGTGAACAGTTTGAACAGTACACTATTCGGAGGCAGCCTTCGTGTTTCCCAGCCTTCTAATCCGCGCACCCATCCTTACGTTGCTGCTCTAGTTTTTCTGTCGTGGTTCATGACTTTCACTGATCAGGCTATGTTCGAAACAAGGACCTTGCTGTCCTATATCGGCCTTCAGGATCACTTCAGACTACTGCTTACTCATTATTAATGTTAGTAAGCGAGAGAAAACAGCTGAACCGTAGTCGCAAATCCTGTCATACATGCTTAATTTGATTTTCCACCGGTAATAAGATGTTGTACAGTACTTGGAAGTTTATTTAACATTTTCCCTACCTCGAACTCGTTTTGTTGCTCGGTCTCCCGTTTTCCACAAACAACTGTAACTGGGATGTCTTTCGGGGACGACTTTCGTCCATTACGAAAGCAGGCGTTTCGTCTATTTGCCCTCTGTTATTAACACCGAAGCTGTGCGGTCACCATCTCAGGTCTCTTAGGAATCCGTAATGCACCTTGCGAAAATGCGAATCATAGGAGGTAAGGGCACTAAGAGCAAGCCTAAATTTCCAGTTTCGTTGATCTTGAAGGTGGTTGAGTTCTGGACCTGTGTTAATAACCACCTGGAGTGCTATTATCTCCCCACTGGCACCGACCGGACTACGGCGCTGTAATTACAGTTGTCGGCCACCGCTACTCAATTTGTTTGAGTAGCCGTTGTACAAACTTGTTATTTCAGCAGATCTGTGCGGTGGGTTTCATTCCAAGACATCGCGTTTCCGTCCGCCCTGTGTTCTACAAATTTACCATGGACCTCTGTACACAGACAGCCGCCATCTAGCTGTCCATGCTATAATTTATACGGTATGCTGCCGCACAAGGCAGAAACCGAACTCTTTTATTAAAAGTCTGTTTATGCGTCTTGAGTGACATTTACTCTTGATTTCATTTGAATTTTAGTGTTCTGGCATAAGCGTTGGTACTGTGCACAAAAAGGACGTCATGAAAGCATCCATCATGGTGGAGAGGGACCTTAAGTGGGCTGTGATACTCGCCTTCGATGTCAAAGTCGACAAGGACGCACAGAGGTTCGCCAATGAGGTCGGTGTGCGCATTTTCACCTCGGAAATTATCTACCACCTGCAGCAGAAGATGGAGGAATATGTGTACGCGCTGATTTATTGCCTACGCGCATCTTTGTTGATCTCGGCCCTTTGAAGTTTGATTACTTGGTCTTGTCTTATGTGGTTGGAGTAAATATATTCTACGCGCCCGAGAATGGTTAGGAATGAACGTTGACTGTTATCAGTCTGCTTGTACCTGGCATTCTCCAAATTATGGATGGTGGTACTATCTTAGTGCCATTGTGCTTTGTTGACAGCAAAAACCACGCAGTGACTAAGTGAACACTATCAATGACATCTCATCCATCAGGATTTTTAGAAAAACTAATATTACGCGGTCCCTTTGGGAAGTTATAGAAAACGAAAAGTCCTTTTGGTAGAGCCCTACACTTCCATGTTCTGTTCTCATTTAGGGAAGAACTAATGAAGGATAACCGGCGCAAACATCGGGATCAGGCCGTCTTCCCAGTGAAGCTGAGCATCCTGCCCGACATGGTATTTAACAAGCGCGCTCCGATTGTGATGGGCGTGCGGGTTGAGGCCGGCCTCTTGCGTGAAGGCACACCAATCTGTGTGCCTACGCGAGATAATATTTGTTTGGGTCGCGTCTTCTCAATCGAGTCCAACCACAAGACCGTTCCCGAGGCACGAACGGGCCAGGAAGTCTGTGTCCGAATCGACCCACTGGAGGGCGAAGCTCCGAAACTCTTCGGTCGACATTTTGACCAAACCGATACCCTCATTTCTAAGGTATGGTCTCATTTCTTTTGCTGTCTTCATTGCGCGCTCTTCTTCTGGTTGACTTCCATCTCCTTCCCCCTTTCTGTCCAGCTTTCGAACTGTTTGATTGCCGTTAAGACTGTGTTTTGCCCCTATACCTAATATTCGTTGTTTTCATGAGGCGATATTCGACACTCTGTAGTACTTGTCGATAACCAACTGTAAGTTCTGCATTCGATGCGCACTCCACGTGGTTCGTGCACTCAGCAAATCTATTGGGTTGGTCTCCGTTTACCCTTCGCGGTGCGCGGCCACCAAGCCTCATTCTCACGCCGCCTGTAGTCTCACCACCCCTTGGGCAACACACTAGTCCAACCACTCATTCTAATAGAAACCCACTCTAAGACCGGTCTGCGAGGTTTGTACGGCTTTTGACGGGGAATTAAAGACAAAAACCTTTCATAAGCTGCGCAGGTTGCTGAAATACGCCGGTTTGGAGAAAATGTACTAGGGTTACTTGATTGTTCGAGGCATATGTAAGGGTTTTCATAATTTGGCGTCCCCGACTAGAATCCAGTAGTAAAGCCATTTTTATTTTTTCCTTTCAGATTTCAAGAGAAAGCATAGACATTGTAAAGGAATTCTTCAGGAACGACCTCAATAAGGAGGACTGGAAGCTTATGGTGGAGCTCAAGAAATACCTCTCTATCTTGTGAAACCCGCCCCCCTCCCCCTCGCGGTGAACTTTTCTGACCTTCGCATAAGTTATTTTTGTGCAATGTTTGAACTATTCCAATTTTCCTTATGCTGTGTAAAAAGGAGGCTCCGACGATGGTAAAGCGATTCCTGACCCACTCTTTACATTCCATGGGATAGCCACCGCCTATTCGGAGCCAATCACATCCTCTTGGGTGCTCAGTCCAGTATACTTATTCGCACACGCAGTCAGTCAGCCCCTTGGGAGTGCGCGCGTCTTATGGTCGGAAGATCTTGAAAACCCTGGGCCTTTTGCACAGGACCGACGCTATCCGCTAAGATTTCCCCAGGCTGAGTCGCTACAAATTTGAATACTCCCACACTAATAAATGGCCTCCTACCGCTCTGTCTAAAGGCGATCCGCAGCCGTAGGCTAAAAAATAACCGTCCTCCACCAGGTTCGCGGACTTTCCACTTAGTTTTTAGAACCGAACAAGATACCCTTGCCTGTTGCTCATGCTCACTCTTAAAGGCTAATCACTCCGCGGCATTTGGCCAGATCGGCGATTGCGTAGAAGACATTCAGTGTGTAAGTGAGGATGATGTGATTTAATTTACCTCCACAATGAGATCCTCCACATACTTATAAAGAAGGTGAGTATGACTGAGATCACCAACCAGGATTGCCTAAAAGCAAAAAAAATGCATTACACCTCACAAAAGTCCCCAAGAAGCGTCAAATTTTCACACTCACGCGAACCCAGAATCCAAGTAATCGGCTAAAGGTCGGGGAAAAGTGGCGTTTTCCTGCGGGAGGGAGATTGGCAAAGTAAAAAGTCAAAGATAAAAATATGGCTCCGAACCAACGCAAGCAAAGCCGGGTCTATGGTCGAGCGGGGTAATGAAGTTGTTGGCGCCAGGTGGGCGGATGAAATTGATTTTTTCCCTGTGGCGCACAAAGGCGGGGGGACGAGAAAATGGCTAACAGTGTACTGTGGCCGTCAGATGTAGAGGTAGACACATGTGTGCACTGCTGAGGTGTAGATCCATGGGCACTGGATACGCATCCTGTACGTAATTTGTGGATCGATCACGCTCCGATGGTCAGCAGGGCAACTAGTAGCATGTGTTTGCAATTGGTCGCGGTTGCCATCGCATCCTAAGGCCGCTGTCCACCCGCATCTTGATGCTCGCACATTCTGCGCCGCGCACAGTCTCAATCACTGCCTGCATCAGGTTTTGAGCGTTGCCGACCAGCACCTCTGTGTTCTCCTGGTCCTCAGATGAATCTGCAGCACAGAAAGAAAGGGCATGTGAACGTATCCTGCCTGTTGAGGAACTTCGCAAGTCACTGCTTGCGTTTGAAGCACACAAACCACCTGGCTACTCGACGGAAAGGCTGCAAATGTGCACATACAGAACAGTCACGCGCTCGTCAAACTCATTAGATCCAGGGGACAGCACTACCTCTGCGGCTGAAAGAAACGGCGGAATGCAGCAAGCAACTTTTGCGAGAAAGGCATGCGTTGCAAAACAAACGGAACACAGCTTATGCAGGGCAGAGCAAACGCTTATTTACCGCATTCTAGTTCTGAAGAGAGCGGCAAGTCGTTCCAACCTTAAGACAAATAAGTGAAGTATGAAACAGCAGGAAGAGATATCAAAATCCCCTTATGTGGGCAAAACGGTAAGTCAGTTGCCACAAGAGCCACTGAAACAAAAAACTACGTCATTGGATGTAATCATATGAGTGAGCATCGATGATACACCATTTGGACGGCCTCCCCAATGCATCGGCAAAGAATCACAATTTTTAGCAGCTGACACTACAGTGCGTGACTTAACTCATGAAATGTGCCGAAATTTACGAATGATTGCCAATCACTCGCAAACCGACACCATTTCATGAGTCCAATGTCTA